TTTTTTTTTGGTATTTTTTTGCGGGAGGGCGTTGGCTCAACTTCCTCTTTTTTCAGGATTTTTCCTCTTTTTTTCCACTTTTCCGCAATTTTCGGGGTTGGGAATGGTCAAATTCCGATTTTTCCAAAATTTTGGGGCTCTGGGATTTTCCAAACCCCCCCGTTCCAGGGATTTTTTGGGGTTGGGCGTGGCCAAAACCCCCCTGTACCCAAAATTTTAAGGGGGGCTGGGCGTGTCCAAACCCCCCTGTCCCGGGATTTTTTTGGGTTGAAAGTGGCTAAATTCCTCTTTTTCCTCAATTTTTTGGGTCTGGGTGTTCCCAAATCCCGATTTTTCCAGGATTTTTGTGTCTGGAATTTCCCAAACCCCCCTGTACCCAAAATTTGGGGAACTGGGCGTTCCCAAATCCCGATTTTTCCACAATTTTCGGGTCTGGGATTTCCCAAATCCCGATTTTCCAGGATTTTTGGGATCTGAAATTTCCCAAATCCCGATTTTTCCAGGATTTTGGAGTCTGGGAGTCCCCAAACCCCCCTGTCCCGGGATTTGTTTGGGTTGAAAATCCCCAAATTCCTCTTTTTCCACATTTTTTGGGATCTGAAATTTCCCAAATCCCGATTTTTCCAGGATTTTTGGGGTCTGGGATTTCCCAAATCCCGATTTTTCCAGGATTTTTGGGGTCTGGGTGTGTCCAAACCCCCCTGTCCCGGGATTTTTTTGGGTTGAAAGTCCCCAAATTCCTCTTTTTCCACAATTTTTGGGATCTGAAATTTCCCAAATCCCGATTTTCCAGGATTTTTGGGGTCTGGGAATTCCCAAACCCCCCTGTCCCGGGATTTTTTTGGGTTGAAAGTCCTCAAATTCCCTTTTTTCCCAAAATTTTCGGGTCTGGGATTTCCCAAATCCCGATTTTTCCAGAATTTTGGGGTCTGGGAATTCCCAAATCCCGATTTTTCCAGAATTTTGGGATCTGAGATTTCCCAAACCCCCCTGTCCTGGGATTTTTTTGGGTTGAAAGTCCCCAAATTCCTCTTTTTCCACAATTTTTGGGATCTGAGATTTCCCAAATTCCGATTTTTCCAAAATTTTGAGGTCTGGAAATTCCCAAATCCTGTTTTTTTCAGGATTTTTGGGCTCTGGAATTTTCCACCCCCCCCTGTCCCGGGATTTTTTTGGGTTAGAAGTCCCCAAATTCCTCTTTTTCCACAATTTTGGGATCTGAAATTTCCCAAATCCCGATTTTTCCAGGAATTTTGGGGTCTGGGCATGTCCAAACCCCCCTGTCCCGGGATTTTTTTGGGTTGAAAGTCCCCAAATTCCTCTTTTTCCACAATTTTCGGGTCTGGGATTTCCCAAATCCCGATTTTTCCAGAATTTTCGGGTCTGGGATTTCCCAAATCCCGATTTTTCCAGGATTTCTGGGGTCTGGGATTTCCCAAACCCCCCTGTCCTGGGATTTTTTTGGGTTAAAAGTCCCCAAATTCCTCTTTTTCCACAATTTTTCAGGTCTGGGATTTCCCAAATCTCGATTTTTCCAGGATTTTTGGGTTCTGGAATTTCCCAAACCCCCCTGTACCCAAAATTTGGGGAACTGGGCGTGTCCAAACCCCCCTGTCCCGGGATTTTTTTGGGTTGAAAATCCCAAAATTCCTCTTTTTCCCCAATTTTCAGGTCTGGGATTTCCCAAATCCGAATTTTTTCCAGGATTTTTGGAGTCTGGGATTTCCCAAACCCCCCTGTACCCAAAATTTTGGGAACTGGGTGTGTCCAAACCCCCCTGTCCTGGGATTTTTTTGGGTTGAAAATCCCCAAATTCCTCTTTTTCCACAATTTTTCGGGTCTGGGATTTCCCAAATCCCGATTTTTCCAGGATTTTTGGGCTCTGGAATTTCCCAAACCCCCCTGTACCCAAAATTTTGGGAACTGGGTGTGTCCAAACCCCCCTGTCCCGGGATTTTTTTGGGTTAAAAATCCCCAATTTCCTCTTTTTCCACATTTTTCGGGATCTGAGATTTCCCAAATCCCGATTTTTCCAGGATTTTTGGGGTCTGGGATTTCCCAAACCCCCCTGTACCCAAAATTTGGGGAACTGGGCGTTCCCAAATTCCGACTTTCCCACAATTTTCGGGTCTGAGATTTCCCAAATTCCGATTTTTCCAGGATTTTTGGGGTCTGGGAATTCCCAAATCCCGATTTTTCCAGGATTTTTGGGCTCTGGAATTTCCCAAACCCCCCTGTCCCGGGATTTTTTAGGGTTGAAAATCCCCAAATTCCTCTTTTTCCACAATTTTTCGGGTCTGGGATTTCCCAAATCCCTTTTTTCCCAGGATTTTTTGGGTTTAAAGTCCCCAAATCCTCATTTTTTTAGGATTTTTCGTGTCTGGGATTTCCCAAACTCCTCCCATTCCCAAATTTTGGGGAACTGGGCGGTGCCACTTCCCCTTTTCCAAAATTTTTGGGGCTGGATGAGCCAAAATCCCGATTTTTCCACAATTTTTGAGATCTGAGATTTCCCAAATCCCGATTTTTCCACATTTTCCAGGATTTCTGGGATTTCCCAAATCCCGATTTTCCAGGATTTTTGGGGTCTGGGATTTCCCAACCCCCCCCGTTCCCAAATTTTGGGGAACTGGGCGTTGCCACTTCCTCTTTTTTCTCACGATTTTGGGTAAAAATCCCAATTTTTCCCAAAATTTTGGGTACAAATCCCAATTTTTCCTGGGATTTGAGGATTTTCCTCTTTTCCCCCACAATTTCGTGCAAAAATCCCAATACTTCCCAAAATTTTGAGGATTTTCCTCTTTTCCCTCACAATTTTGAGCAAAAATCCCATTTTTTTCTGGGATTTTGGGTACAAATTCCAATTTTTCCCAAAATTTTGGGTACAAATCCCAATTTTTCCTGGGATTTTGGGGATTTTCCTCTTTTCCCTCACAATTTTGAGCAAAAATCCCAA